TATTCTGTATCATGAGCCATGAGAGGTGTGGAGTATTTCTCTCCAAAGGTCATGAAATCCGAACTTGGTTTAATAGATTATTTTTTGTCAGCCTAAGTACATATTTAAAAGTCAACATGCAGTGTTCCTATGACTTCAGTCCTTCTATTGCTTATGCATATAAATTCCAGTGACATTCGCCGATTCAGGACAGCAACATAAACAAACTGATTTGCACCATTAAACCGTCAATTATTATTTTTCCGCCCTTAAAAATAATACCCCATCTAGCCATTCCGCAGACTTCATTTTGATCCCCACCCCCACCCCACCTCTTGTCAAACGTTTGTATACCTGAAGCAAGTCGGCATTTCTAAATAAAACTGTGTTCATGAAACGGAATTCCTCTGACTTCATTAGGGGGGGCATCTGACGCAAATGTATTTGTGAAAAACATAGCCTTGAGGTCCAGCGAAAATCTGACCGGCATAAACATATGTATTAGCTAATGCAAGTTAATTATCAATCATTCTAAATGCTAACTAGTGGCTATGTTTTTCTTGACTAGGAGCTGCATTGCCAAAGCTTGTGTGTAAATGGAGTACATTTACTACTCCAGCTGTTCCGTCCCTTGTGAGCGATTTTGGCTTTTTCTCTGTAAAAGGTACTCATGTACTCTTCCTTCTTGCTTGGGTGTTACTATAATCACAGCTCATATTGTTATAACTTTGAACCTCCGTTCCCCAAGCAATAAAAACTCCAAGAGTTACCCAGGTTTTAAGTTTCCTTCAAGTGAGCTACCAGGGTCTTATGTCATTTTTGTGGTGTATCATATATTTCCGCACATATACATAGAGAGAATAGATGAGGAGACTTCGTATTAATGCTCCAATCTATTTCTGTTCCCTTGCTAGACTTCTAGGGTGTGGTTGGAGCTTTTGCAGAGCTTGCCTAAGCTTCCAAAACTCTGCCTAAGGCAGCTCTTCATCCATATCCTCTAACAGTCTCGACTGGCAGGGATAGTCCCAATTAATCCTCTGTCCTATGTTTTCAGCTGCTTTTAAAATGTCCCAGTTTCTCTCTCTTTCTTTGGCATTGGCTTTGAGGATTAGCATCTCTAAAGTTATAGTTCAGGAATAGAGCACTAGAACTCTCTAGCAGACAATTCTCATTAAGCTGTAAATGCAAGGATTCCATAGGATGGAGCCATGACTATTAAAGTGATATCAGCCTGCATTCTTTTGTGGAATCTTAATTGATTAAGTGATAAATTTTGGATCAGAAATCACAGCAAGACACATATACGCATTAAAACTTGTACAGTATGTAGTTGCGGCTTTTTCAGATACCATTTTCAAGCCTCCCAAAACTTAACATATAGTTCATGCACTATTACAGTAAAGACTGAGAAGCATGAAAACATCTGCAGATACAACGTGGACACACCCAAGACCACATTTGCACATGTAATCTTTAGGGTTTCTGCCAATAAAAACTTCAAAACCTTTACATCCTCAAAATTTCTGTTTCCTAGAAACCCAGGGAACACATCATTTGAATACGGTGTAATATTTTCTATGGAATGCAAGGCCATTCTCACCATAACCTTTTTGGTTGCATAATATAGCAAACATTGACAGAAATGGGGAATGCAGCCAAGAAATCAGAAGAAGATTAAGAATGGGGAAGATGCCTATGAAAGAACTAGAAAAGATCCTAAAAGGCAAAGATATATAACTCAGCACAAAAGTTAGAAGCATACAAGCCATCATATTCCCTATTACCATGTATGGATGTGAGAGCTGGACAGTTAAGAAAGAGGATAGGAAGAAAATCAATGCATTTGAGAGAATGTGGTGCTGGAGAAGAGTGCTGAGGATCCCATGGACAGCCAAAAGGACAAACAAATGGGTCCTAGAGCAGATCAAACTGGAAACCTCCCTGGAAGCCAAGATGGCCAAACTGAGACTGTCGTACTTTGGACACATCATGAGAAGGGAGGACTCTTTGGAAAATCAGTAATTCTGGGGAAGGTGGAGGGAAGAAGGAAAAGAGGAAGGCCATACGCTAGATAGATGGCTTCTATTAAGGAAGTCACAGGTATTAAGGCGTTGCAGGAATTAAGCAGAGCAGTGGAAGATAGAGGGTCTTGGAGATGTCTCATCCATAGGGCCACCATGAGTTGAAATCCACTCAAGGGCAGTTAACAACAAACAAAAATATAGCAGGGTAACTGGTAACAGCAGCAGTGTGTGCCCAAGGTCACACTTTTCCCAATGGCCAATATCCCAACATATTTTGTTTAAACAAGAGAGAATTGCCTTGTTTGCCTCCATTCCAAGAATGGCAGCAGAACTCTCATGTTTTTCCCTCAAATAGTAGGATTCTTTTGGAATTGCAACATGGGAACAAGTGCAATCTTGTATCTGACTGTACTCAAGAGCTTGTAATGTTACCGGATAGAACTAATTACAGGCACATTTCAGTTGTCAAAGCCTCTGACAACGATACTTATTTTTTCAAAGATTTCTTTCTATGCCTGCACAACCCCAGCTTTTCTTCCTCATACTCTGCTTAGCTGGATTTTTTTAGCAGCATTGGTATTGGCATTAGGAAGATAGTAGAAGAGGATTGGAAAAACACCAACTTTTGGTGCCAGATTGCAATGACAAGTCTGTATTGAACAGTGGAGTAAAGCCTGAACTGGGAAAAAGTGGGTTTCTACTCTGACTAACCATATGCACCTGCTTATAACAGGCAAGGTAAAAGGCAGCTGCCTGCTGGAACCCTTACTGAGCATGTGTGAACAGCAATACGCAGAGAAAAAGGGAGTGCAGATAAGCCTGCCTCACCATCCACCCCAGCATGTTTTAAAAGCATAGATCTGTAAGTTTAGCCATATTAATATTAATAACAGATAAAATATTTCCATCTCATCTTTTTCACAATTCAAGACTCAAAGTGGTTTATAACAAGATAAAAAACAACATCTTCAAGCATTCACAAGATATCAAATGCCAACATGAAATACAGAAATTAAAATCAGATTAAAACATACATCATTAAACACACACACACCAGCACAACAATTAGCAAGATGCAGTACATTGTTTAGATAGGATAATGATATCATTACTCTTCAAATGCTTATCAAAATAGAAACATTTTTAATGTGAAGTTGTAGGCTTTCATGGCCGGCATCCATAGTTTTTTTTTTTTGTGGGTTTTTTCGGGCTGTGTGGCCATGTTCTGAAAGAGTTTCTTTCTGACGTTTCGCCAGCATCTGTGGCTAGCATCTTCAGAGAAAAAATCTGAGCGTGAGACTTGCCTAAGGTTACCCATTGGGTTTCATGGCTGAACTGAGAATTGAACCCAGGTTTCCAGAGTCATAGTCCAACATTCAAATCACTACTCTACAGTGGCTCTCCACCCCCAAACTCTGGGCAACCTCTCCCAAAGGATTAATTTATGTATGAAATAGCATGGGGGACAGAAGAAACCCTGA